GAGATAGAGTTGGCGGTTTTTTTCAGTAGATTAGCCCACAAGATAAAGGTTATCTTTTTTTTTTTTTTTTTGCCGATCGCCCTGTCTATGAAATAAGGCTCTGAGGATGATTAAATGGGCACCCTGGTCTCACATACCGCACTGTATCGTGAGGAGGAAAGGTCATTCAATATATATGGAAATTATTACTGCTGTCTTTATTACGGGGGCACAGCTTGGATAGTTTTCAGGAACAGGGAATGAAAGGTAAAAATGCGGTAAAGTGTTCCTTTATGTTTGAAGAAGAAACCGTTTTTTTAATCCTCCTCTGAAAGCTGTCTCGGTCCAATCTTCCTCAGCCTCGTGTGCACCGACGACTCTTTGTCGAGGTGAACCACAGAGCAAGGTCAGCGTGCGATGCAATTACTCCCTCACAGCTTCCACAAACACAACACTCCTCTCTGACTGAGTCGTGGTGCTGATGCTACATTTAGTGAAAGATAGGGCTGCACGAAACATATAATCACCATTACTTTCATCATGATTTATCTCGATGAGTCACTGATTTTGTTGAGCTTTCACATCTAAATCGAATAAATAAACGTCCATGATGTGCTGTGCTGTAAAGACCTCATTCACAGAGACTCCTAGAAGCAAAAAAAAATTGTAAGAAAACCTTTCACCCTCAAATTAAATCAACAGAGCACTGCTTTCAAGTTGTGCTACATCCCTGCTCATTAACACATTGCCTGAGACTTAGAATACAGGTTCCTCTACACATGAGTTTATTCATTTTTGTGTTGCCTGTATGCTCTGCGGTACATTACTCTTCTACTCCAGGAATCTCCAGAGGCCCCACGATACATTATGGCAATACTTAAGTCACAATATGCAATGTAGGCTATTCGTGATTAACTGTGCAGCTCTAGTGAAGGATCAGGACTGTTGTTTCTATTATAAATATAATACTCACAGGATGATTGAATGTAAAGAAAACCACTATATGGGTGCTCCGTTATGGAGGAAGCAGCCCAGCTGTCTAAAGTGGATTCCTACTATGAGTGTAATCTCCGAGGACAAGGCGGTGGCAAGACTCTCGCGGACACCCGGACCCCTGGAACAAATGACCCAAATACCCAGTGAATCAAGGCATTTGGCTGACGGTGCACTGCAGAAGTAGCGCTACTTACACAGAGAGACGAGTATTATTGCAGCGTCCAAAACAAAGCCCAGAAGCAGCACTGTTACACCAGTTCACGTCACGCGTTTGTGCCGAGCGGATTCGTCTGAGAGGAGAAAAAAGACTTGAAATATTTATCCGACTGTCTTTTTGTTTAGATTACCGTGTGTTTGTTCTCCTTAATGCCTCCATCGACTTCACATTGATTCAGTGAGCAGACATAAGGCTGAGGCATGAGGTTGCCCTTGCAGAATAAAAATTCATACAACGCCTTGATTACCCAATGATTGCTGTGAATTGGATATGTCTGTTGCAGAGCAGCATATCCTGCATCGCTATTAACCAGGGTCAAGGAGTCATCGGCTACTTAACTTCCATCACCAAGCGTGCATTAATTAACGCCTGGCGAGCGGCATCTCGTGCAAACACTCTCACTGATGCTGCGGATTGAGTCGAATCGAGTTTCTTTGCGACGTCCACGCCGCTCGCCTTTTCCCAAAAACGTAATGGCCGAGCGAGCGCCTGTCAGATGCTGAAAGAGCTGCAACAAAGCGCTGCAGGAACGGTGGTGGTGGGGGGGGGGGGTCTCCGAGCAACCGCCAGCGGTGGCATGCACATTCTGCTATTGACTTAGCCTTTATCCACGGCCCCTTGTGTGGTTGTCAGATCCCCGACAGCACTCTCGCCTCCGAGCGGGGACCTCTGCCATGACCGCTCATCTCTTATCTTTTCCACCGCGTCTGAGCTATTATCAAGGCCGCAAAATCATCAGCCTTTTGAAGGAAGTGAGCATGTGCTTTTTATGGGATACATTTGGAAATGGAATAGTCGTCCGTCTCTTTCAGCACGGCCTCAAGGAGGCTTGTGAATAGTTGTGGCGGTAATGGAAGTGTTGCCTTGAGCACAGAAGGAGGAGATTGCCTTGAGCGAGGAAAAAATAGGCCTTTTCTGTGAGTTTCTGTCAATAGCACGGGAAATGTATAAAGTAATGTCTGAAGAGCTGGAGAGGGATCACGACCAATTCAGTTGATGTTTCTATCAGGATCACGCTGCACGATTACAAGCCAAGCAGGACTCGCTTGAAATGAACTAGTTTGTGCAACACGTCGCCCGATTACGTCTGAGGTGTTTATAGCTGCTCTGAACGGCCTCGCTCAAAGACTTTCAGACAATCTTTCCTCCGAGGCATTCATAGTGTGGCGCTCTTTTAAAAATTGCCGAAAGTAATTTTGTGAAGAATGGAATGAAGAGAGTTTAATCTTTGCCTACTCTCTGGCCTCCACACACCTGGTCGATCACTGCCCGCAGTCTGATTGAAGCGTCGTCTTAGCGAGCATTCGGACCGAACAACGTGAGTGGCTGCGTTGGTGTAGGTGTGTTGCTTCAGGTCCAGGTGACGCATGAAAGATCAATCAGGAAGACCAGTTTAGGGATCAACTTTATTGCCGAAACAGCCCTGTGTTTTTCACCTTTACACCAGGCAGCAACCTCCAGTTCTGAAAAGTGAAGCCAATGAGGAAGTGCCTTTGACCTGTATCCTCTGTAATGTCCAACAGGGGGCGACTCCTCTGGTTGTATAGAAGTCTATGAGAAAATGACTCTACTTCTCTCTTGATTTATTACCTCAGTAAACATTGTAAACATGAGTTTATGGTCTCAATCTCTAGTTTCAAGTCTTCTTCAATACAGCATGATGTTCATTTAGTAAATTATGTTTTCAGTTCATGAAAGTTAATTGTAATATTTTGGTCGCCTAAAAATGTCTTAATCAGCATTCGGGTGTACTTAGCTCCACCCTCTCGTGTCACTTCTGGTTGCAAAAAGATCAAGATGGCGACGGACAGAATCAAGGCTTCCGAACCACAGGGCACAAACCAATGCATGACGTCACGGTGACTACGTCCACCTCTTATATACAGTCGATGATTTAGACAACTGTAAATCTACTGTTCGCATTGAAATAAATGGGCTGAATGCAGCTTTAGACCGTTAACAGACCGATGGGATCTCAAGTAGATTTTTAAGATTTGGGTATTTGTGACCACATGAAAAGTAGTCCCATCTACGGCTCTTTCATAGGCTCCAGATCTAAAGAGATCCATTTGCATCCAACTGCAGACGCACAATAAATAAAGAGGCAATCGAACAGATTAATCAATTAGTCAAAGAACTTCTGTTACTTACTTGAATTTCTTCAGTCAAGGACGGCCCTTCAAGTCAGTAATTTATTGAACACATTTATTTTGGCAACCTGACAGCCTCCTGTCAAAACTCATCCCATCTGAGGCATGATGGAAATATTGAATCCCTCTGCTCCAATTTAACTTCACTTAAATACAACAGAAGAATGTAGGAACAGCTGAACATGACCACCAATGAACTGCGGTTGGCCCTCACTTTATATTGTTGTGACAGGCTTTCCGAGCACAAGTAACTGTTGGCTATCAGATGTCAACATCTGTCTCTGGGAGCCTATGAAAATCCTTGTATTTAGGGGTCATTTCCTGCAGTCGGTTCAGATAGCGCTCTCTGTCCGACCAAAGATGCAACACAGTTAGTTTTAAGAGAGAGAGACAAGTAAAACCAACGTTGTTTGATGTTCTTTAACACCGGTTTTTGACAGCGAGCACCCTCCATGTTTATCTTGCAAGTTCTCAATCACTGCAGTTTAAGTAGTAGGTTTACAAAGACGAGTACTCCGTATGGGTCTCCTTCTTACGGACCAACACTGCCCGGCATGCTCCCTTATCATTCTTTGCTTTTGTCATTTCATTTTCACAAAATAAAAGATTTTCTTTGTGCCTTGAAACAACACGGGTCCAGATTGGCGACGTCGCTATCGACATTGAAAATAATTCCCCAGAGAAGCAGTAATGATAATCAGCTCATTAAAGAAGGCTTAATAGAGGGGCAGCGTGTGTGAAAGAGTGGCAAAGTAGATTAGTTTGAATTTGCATGTGTTGATGCTGAAGGAGGAAAGGAAATGTCTTTATTTCTATTTGAGGAGAACGATGTGTTTCTTCAAGGACGCGCTTGGAGCCAGACACCGCTTTTAACAGTTTGCTGTCTGAGGTTGTTACACAGGAAATCTCTGAGATTATTGGTTTTTGTGTGTGTGTGTGTGTCTGTGTGTGTGTGTGTGTGTCTGTGTCTGTGTGTCTGTGTGTGTGTCGGGCTGTTTACATGTGCCAGAAAGCTAAGGGTTGGCGTTAAACACCATCCCAGGTAATTGCATGAAACCGGAGGGATTGTTCGTCGTCCCGGGCTTTGTGATCTGGACATTGTCCCGGTCTCCTCCTGGCTCCGTGCCAGCTCGGGGTCTTACCACAAACAACAGTGGGGGAGGGGAAGGGAGCGCTTAATATGGAAATAGCATTAATTACTGAGCCTAAACAACAGATGTGACCCTCGGCATTAAATACTCATCTCACGAATGAAGACGGGCTGGAATATGAAATCATGTTGCGTCGCTTGGCCTGTAAATATCTCTTTGGTTTTACTGAGTTCTACTGGTTCACTGGTGTGTGTGTGTGTGTGTGTGTGTGTGTGTGTGTGTGTGTGCGTGTGCGTGTGTGTGTTTGCTTCAACTCAGCTCCCAGTAGCAAGTAATCTAATCTTCCAATCAACATTTTGAAAGATAATCTAAATCCTACTAAAATCGCCCTGAACTGAAAACTCCTCAAACCCCCACGCCAAATCTCTGTCATTAACTTGTCAGAAACCCCTAACCCCCCCCCCCCCCCCAAATGTCCGTCAGCCCGCTGGCAGTTTGTAACACCAGGCTGTTGAGTCCAACGCGGCGATTAACATATTAACACGTCTTTTGTTTCAATTTCTCCAGCGCCGGCCCCAAAGGAGACAACATCTACGAGTGGAGGTCGACCATCCTGGGACCCCCGGGCTCCGTGTACGAGGGGGGCGTCTTCTTCCTGGACATCGCCTTCACCCCCGACTACCCCTTCAAACCCCCCAAGGTCAGCAGCCAGCAGACACAACTGTTACATTATTTTGAATGTTTGAGTGAGCCGACACTATCTGGAGAGAATGAAAACGTATTAAGAAGAGCTCGGTGTGGGAGGATCCCTCAGAGAAACATTAGTATTCATATGGAGTCACGTCTCTGGCCGCCTGATGAATTATTCCAAAACTCGCATATTATATATAACTTAGTCCTTTTATATTAAACAATATTCATAATTGAGGACCAGTTGCTGAAACTAGCAGCGGTCACACACTCTGCTGATGTGATATTAGTGTTATCAGCACAGACTCATCATCTTACTTTATATAGAGCCTGGTCATCGTGCCCGGTGTTTACTGGTTTAAGCCTGCAGCCACAAACTGAAGATGAAGTCATGACTCAGGGCCTTCTGCTCATTTATTTACGGGTTCACGCACCTGTTCACTAAATCATGTAAGTTCTGGTCCGGGCATGATGAGACATCTCTTTCCAATTATCACACAAAGAAGCCTTGATGCAAGTTTTAAAATGAGAGAGAGAGAGAGAGAGGGAGAGAGAGAGAGGGAGAGGGAGAGGGAGAGAGCAAATAAGCATTAAAACTAAACCAAACCCAAGAAACTTTTATTTGTTTTATGGTCATCGTCACAGATATACGTCTCAGCTACACTCGGGTACTAGTTCAGATATGTGCTGCTGAAGTCACAGCCGATGTCGTGGTAGTCGTTCAGGATCCGCACTGCAGCTCTTCGTGCACTCTTTTGCAGCTCGGTTTGCACTTTGATGAGGAATCGTCGTGATTTTGAGCTCAAATCCTGACCTGTTGGTTCTGTGTCCGCTGAGCACTTTGAGGGTGTTGAGTGGATGACACGCAGACTGTCGGGGCCAGTCGCCCTTTAGTGTTTCAGTGCACCCTATCCCCCTTTCACTTGGCCTTCATTTTCTGCCTCCCCCCCTCTCTCTCTGTTATGGAAACCCCTCCCCATGCTCGCTCGCCCTCTCCTCTCGCTCTTTGTGCTGTGTAACCACCAGCTCTGTGTTTGACAGCAGACTCAAACAAATCCACAGGCTCCGGCCCAGCTTTCTGTTGCCAGAGGGACTTGAGTGTTTCCGCCCCCCCCCCCTCTCCAATACCTCCTACCCCTCCGATACACTGAACTGCAGCCAAACCCCTCCCCACACACACACACACACACACACACACACACACACAAAGCCTTCGGCCTGTAGCTGCCACACACTCTCTCGCTACAGAAACGCTCCAGTGAAGCTCAGTTGCTGAGTGCTCTCAGACCCCAGGCTCGGGAGTTTTAGATCCAGAATCCGACTCTCCTTTTTTAGCTCCTCTAAAAGAGAAACAAGAGCTGACAAGTTCGCCAGGTGGATGCGTCTCTGCTTCTGAACTCGGGCCAGGAGAGGAGCTCTGGATCTGCGGAGGCGGAGCGGTCGGTTATTTATAACGTCCTGCCCTTGTGTGATTTTTGGGAATGCCAAGGCTCATTAGAGGTTTCCTCTGGTGGGTCAGGAGGGCCAGATGTTGGTGATTGGAGCGAGGGGGGGGGGGGGAAACAGTAGTGTCAAGTGTCAGAACCGAGCAGATGTCAGGCTCAACGTCTGAGCCGGGACGGACTACATGAACAGAGGAAGGTCGGTTGTTGAGAGGGGGGGGGAGCACAGTTTGAGCATAAATTCCTAAATTCATTAATTTAATACGAGACTGGTTCATCATCATTACCGTTGCTTCAAAAGCTCTGTTTTAGAAGATGGAAATTGTCATCACGCTTAATTTACTCTTTTTTTAATGTATTTTCTTTGCTTCTTATCATTTATTTTTTTAGTATTTTTTCTGATTAATGTTTGCTACGTCTTCTTTTTTATCTCCTTTCTTGTTGTTTGTCTTTCTTGAGGTCCGTTATTTAAATGTTTAAACCTGTGGCTTCATGAACACTTTGTCACGTTTCTTATTTTGATTTTCTGAAGTCTGAAGTGTTGAAATAATAAAACAGTACGTAACATTAGTCAACATGTGATGGGTCACTGTGTGCTTTGTGGAGGCTGTTTACTGTGATGAGTAAAGGGATGAATCAACACTTGGGTCCAATATTCAAGGTGGCAACAAAACTGTTGTGTTGTTTTGGTTTTACACCATGCTGCCCTCTGTTGGTCTGATTTATTAAGAATATCATGAGTATTGGTGGATACTAGATGGACTACATGCGGTTTGCAAGCCATAAAAATATATATATTTGTGGCTACATGCACATCCAGCAACAGAGACAAATGGTGTGAAGTGTCCCTCAGTGGAGCGATGGAGCGATCACACTGATGCTGATATACAGAAGTTAATGTGAATAAAGGAGAAGTGATGAGAGGCCCACAGCAGCCTTAACCTGTCCTCCATGTCTCACCTGTTATTACTGCGTTATAACAAGCTCCTCATCCTCACACACCAAATCATCTTCCTTCACTTAATCCACTGCAAACGGGCTCGTATTTGAGATTTTATCAGATCTGAACTCTGCAGGTCTCTGTGTTCATCCTGATGTTACGTAACAGGAGTGTTCACAAACATCTGTAGAGCCGTGGTTTCCCACTGTTGGTGGTGGCAGTTATGGAATTAATTAAAGTCCATTTCATTATTCTGTTATCATTCTCGGCTAATTCATTGTGTTAAAATGGCAACTACCTTTTATTTTAGTGGTTTCCTGGTGTTTATTGGAATATAATTGTTTGTAAATGATTAATGCAGCACAGAGTTCTCTTTCCTCTTGAAAGCAACGCTTCCCGTAAAGTGCTGACATTTTTTTTGTTATAAAGTCCGATTTTCTGTCTCTAAACTCCCAAACTGTTGTGTGTGTGCGTCCTCAGGTAACCTTCCGTACGAGGATCTATCACTGCAACATCAACAGTCAGGGGGTGATCTGTCTGGACATCCTGAAGGACAACTGGAGCCCCGCGCTCACCATCTCCAAGGTGCTGCTGTCCATCTGCTCCCTGCTCACAGACTGTAACCCAGGTGAGACTCTCTGACGTCTGTTTGATGCTTTTTATTAGTGAGAAGTCAGTAGTGGTTCTATGAATGCTTCTTACTCGAGGCCTAATAACAGTGTATTAAGCACCACAATCCATGACCAATTCAAACCCTCATTGATGCTCAGTGACAGATCGTTGGCACAGTTGTAAATAATAAAAGCACATGTCCACAGCAGAGGAGCCAGCTGCTGGCAGAGGAGATCCACAATAAGTGTTTAATGAAAACACGAACATGATCAAAGATATTGATGATTTGTTCTTGGCTTGAGAACAGAATGTCGTGCACTAGTGCATGCTGGGAAATGAGTTTACAAAGCAAGAATAAATGGGTCAGTGGCTTCACTTTTTAAAAGATGAACATCTTGTGAGAAGTGTTGAGTTCAATGTCATGAACGTGAGCACAAAGGAAGTACGGGGGAATAATCCTCTAAGACGGTTTTTAATGTTATTTCACCGTCTGTCTGCAGTCCTCGCTGCTCCTGATTGGGTTGTCTTTGCCTGTTTAATATGATTTACTGGTTATTGATGCAGCTGAATTTGAGATGGTGTAATCAAGTCTACTTGAAGGTCACCACACCATAATAAAATGAACGCTGCCCCCCCCCACACCCCTCAGGCCAAACTCTTTATAGTTTGCAACCAGCGTGAGTCTGGGAGATGGCTTAACGATCTGGAATGAAATAGAATTGCATTTATATCAATCACGGTTAGTCTGGAGGGGAATGTAAGAAATCACTCGTTTTTAAAATAAATGCTATTATAAACTGTACATTTAAAGAAGCTTTCCATAATGTGATATGTACTCCAATAACTATGTGGGTGTTGACGTTGGTCACCTGCATATTAATATTTAGATTTGTATAATATAAACCAGAACTCTACTCCTTGGCCTGTTCCAATAGATCCAATAGAAATGTGATCATGACTCATCTTCACCAGCACAAATGTTCACATAATCTAAACCGGAGAGGATGAAGACGTTTTTTGACTGTTGACGGTGGATCGTCCCGCCCAGCTGAGGTGATTATTGACGCTTCATGATTTTAAATATTCTCTCTCTGCCTTTTGTGCCTTTCAGCCGACCCTCTGGTGGGAAGCATCGCCACACAGTACCTGACCAACAGAACGGAGCATGACAGAATAGCCAAACAATGGACGAAGAGATACGCCACATAGACCACCGACCATCCCCTCCTGTACCTCCCTCACCCGTCACTGTACCTCTCTCTACCCCTCTCTCTCTCTCTCTCTCTCTCTCTCTCTCTCTCTCTCTCTCTCTCACCCTTAAGGCCTTCACACAACGGGGTGGGCGGGACCAACGAACGGCACGAAAATGCGATACTTGCAAATATTTCTCATCAAAACTAATTAGTTACAAGACTTTAAGTAAAAGGTTCTAATAGATTCACGCAGGCAGAGGACCAACTACCAGGATCCCATTGATCACTGATCCTATCGATCATTGATCATTGATCCTATCGATCATTGATCCTCTCGTCTGTCTGATCTGTCTGAACTGTTGCGCAGCCTAAACTACTGTAAGCTGTCTTTTTGAGTTTCCTTTTAGCGAAATGCTCTGAGTGAATTTGAGTTCCCTCTGGTAAAAACAATTAGTGTACTTACCTGGGGCTTTTATTGTGAAAAGTAAGAACGGAAGGAGTGGATCTGGTCTGTATTAGTCAAGGTTGAAAGGACTAATAAAGTTTGCCGTCTTGCATCGGACTATGGAGCCTCTGTGTTGTTTTTATAAGTAACTCAACCCGTTCCGCACAACCTGATCGGTTGATGCCTTTTATTTGCGTTGCGAAAGCTCCGAAAATCCATCTCGTTGAATATTTTTTGTGTTCTGTGTGGAAGTACTCAACAACTGTTTGGAAAAATATATATTTACGTGTGAATTAATCGCACACAAAAAAAAAAATAACCACCCCCGGTGTGTTAAGGCCTTTAGTCTGTCAAAGCACACTCACTAAGTGCAACAGTAAACCTGCCCTCCTATCACCTTCCTCCTCCTCTTCCTCCACCTCAACATTTTATCTACCTTTTCTGTGTTTAAAAAAAAAAAAAAAAAAAAAATCAATGAAGACAAAAAAATGTCCTTTTGTTCCTTGTTGACTTGAAAGCTTCTTTTTTATACAAAGAGTAGATTGGGATTTTTATTTTCCAATATCTGAATGTTGGAAGTATTGTATTGGAGAAAAAAACAAAAAAAACACAGAATATTATAAATATCATACGCATTGTCCTCCAGCTATACAGTATGTATTCTCATTTCTCTTAGTGGCACCTGGAACAAACATGCAGAATATTATGCTTTTACTTTTGATTTCCTCGTTTTTGTTTTTTTTGTATTTTGCCATCAATATGTTATCTGCATGGAACAGGAAGGTTTGCGTCAATGGATCCTTCATGCTTTTTAACTTCCTCTGATTTTGTTTGTACTGTATGTATTTTTTCAAAGGCTTTTGAGGCAGACCACAAAAGTATAGGTCTGCCTGTGAAAGAGGCAGGACTTGTATATTTACTGGCTACCCGCCACCTCTGCAATTGCAGAGTGGTTTGTTGTGCACTTGTATTACTGAAGACCCAATAAAACACACTGTGGTCGGCTTGTGAGGAAAAAACTGCTCGGCTCTGTCTGGGATTTTGTGTTTGACTGCAGCGTCAAATATTTACACTTCACTCACTGATCTTCATTCACTCAGTCACGGCTCACACACACACACCTGGTTGTTAAACTTACAGTCTGAAACATCGGCTCGATTACAATAAAAGTTGTTTTTTCTTCTATCGGATATCTGCTTTAGTTGGGTGTGGCTCATTATGACTCCTGCCCTATCGTGTTGCTTTTATTACCTCTATAAAGGAGGTGTGATGTGTTCGTGTCTTTGTGGATGTCACTGAAACACAAGAATGGATCTCCATGAAATTCTTCTCTTTTGGAAGACTGGCGGACTTAAATACAGACTGAGCACTTTCCCAGTGGGAGCTAACATTAGCAGAGTATGTTAGCACATCATTAACTAGTGTTAGTGCTTCTATGCTGCTTTTATTTTTAATGATTGTAACAGAGAGTAAAGAGCTACCCGGCTTTACAGGAACAATGTTGTTCCTTAATTTTATTATCTTCGTGTCGATCTCACTTTCGCACTGTGATCTGTAAACTTTAGCTTTTATCTTTATAACCTGCTTTTAATCAGTTTGACATCCTGGATATATCCTTCAAACTCATAACGTAGACCCTTCTGTGTGCTTCTCTCTGAAATGGCATGTGTGTTTTCCTGTTAGTCTCCTCACCATTTGGTTATCAAAGGCAACTTGTGTACGTTAAAGGCAGGGTTGGTCTTCAAAAACATTTTGGATATTGTTGAAATTGTCATTACACCCCGACATAAATCAATGAATCAAATGCTCTGACAAAAAAAGGGAAAATAATAATTAAATATATGTGGCTGTCGCAGGACACAAAATGACTACAAAGAGACACATTACTAAAAAAAAGACACAAAAATACTACAAACAGCCACAAAATCACTACGAAGAGACACAAAAATACTACAAACAGCCACAAAATCACTACGAAGAGACACAAAAATACTACAAACTGCAACAAAATGACTTCAAAGAAACACAAAATTACTACAAACAGCCACAAATGACCAAAAAGAGATACAAAAATACTCCATAAAGGCCACAACATGAGTACAAACTGTCGCAGAGCAGAAGCTGAAAAACAAGCTGCAGCAGAACAACGTCAGAGAGCTGTGGTTCTGGTATGAAACAGATCATAAGGTCTAAGGTCAAGACTAAAACAGACCGAGGGCAGCCTGGACTGAACCGATGAGGAGAACATGTTCTTAAATATGTTCAGCTCGGGGTCTCCTGCTGCTTCCTCCTCCCGCATCTCAGACTCTGCTCCCACAGAGCCTTCACTGTTCTCATGCAGAATATCAAACGGCTTCTCCTGGTTCGATTTATCATCATGTCTTTAATACAGAAAAATGTCGGTTCCTCTGCGGGTTCTTAAAGGTTGAGGTGATATAGCACCGCTGCCACACCAAGAACATTTAAACCATTGTATTGTTCTTTAGAGGTTCTCTTCTTTAAACTAAACTAAGCTGGAGAACCATAGAACTATTTAATGCTTCTGTATTTTTCTTTAGAGGTTCTCTTCTTTCAACTAAACTAAGCTGGAGAACCATATAGAACATTTTAAGCCCCTGTATTGTTCTTTAGAGGTTATACTGGTTCTCTGCTTTGTTTCAGTTTAGTTTACATTCCACCATTGAACTTTGGGAAAGTTATATTAAAAATATTAAAAACAGAAGGAACGGACCACTCGGACTCAACTCCTCACCCACAACATGTTTTGACTTCATAAATGAATCATACAAAAGCTTTTAAGCAAAGGACCAAGTCAGCTCTTGGTCTGTTTATACAGATTTGATGGTCCAGATACTGATGCAAAAAGCCTTACAAAAAAAACACTTCAGATTTTGGTGAAGGTTCTGATTGGCTGGTAGTTGGCTTGAATAATAAGATGGTCGTTAGTCTGCGAGAAAGTCAAACCGGCTGAAGCCTCTACGCCTGCATTAATGGGTGCTGAAATAATACCAGATATAAATTTACCAAAGACTTAAGGAAAGGATCAGGCTCGTGTTAATTAATTAGTGTTTGCTGGATCTTAAATTGTTCTTCCATGGCTCCTTGAGGAGTGTGGCCTTTGTGCAGGAGAATATCCTCAAATTTAACTCCACTGTGAACCGTGCATCTTAGGTTTCACTCAGCATTGCACAGTCTCAATGAAGTGTCGCAACAGACAAGGTGTAAGAAGGATTCTTCTTACTTTAAATTCAAACAAACTGAATGGGATGTGTGTGATTCAGGACTTAAATGGGGTTAAAGATGAGCACATGCTACTGTCACAATATTGACACAGCATCTGAGATCACCGTGTTCACCTTTTAAACCCACACATCCACCAGCAGGTAACAGGTGCATCGTGTTCTTTCGTGGCTCATTTAACTTCTGTAAGGCCCCGCTTACACCTAACAAATCTCTTACGAGGTAATTTATCAGTAATTGCACCAGATGCAGTTTTAATAGGGTTTTTTGAAATGCCGGTTGCACACGGCGGACGCATAAAGTGCAGAGAATCGATGCCCTTTGGTGCAGAAATACATACAAGCCACATTATCCTGTTGAAACGGTGAAAATGTGCTCTTAGGCTGCAGCATGCAATGAATAATTTCAACTCACAGGCCCTGTTACAGTAATACCTTGTTACTCATGAGTCAGACGTGGTCCGTTTATGTGGTTTTTCAGTTTCTGTGGCCAGCGATGCAGCAACTTAGTCATTGCAGAAGTTCTATTAGATTAACCCCCTTTGAAAATATAGTAAACACATCACACTTTCCAAATTGTCTTTATGAAACTGGCATTGAATTTGTGGCTTGATTTAATTATCACCACATTAATTGAGAGAGGTAGTATGCTTGTCTGTCAAATGTAGTCATTTTAATATATTATACATTGATTGTTTGAATGTAATATCAGGTGGCATAAATCCTCAAATTAAATATTGAAGTTCATGAAACACAAAGTTCACAAGTTCGACCATCACGTGCCGTATCAAGATGTTGGATTCTAAAGATAACATTAAAATAATTACAATAAATGTAAATAGGTGTATAAAACTCTTATGTATGTAATGTAGGCTGGGCTGTTTCCAGAGGAGGACCGGGACCGTACAGCTCGCTGTAGCCGCGTTAGGCTACTTCCGTTCCGCAGAGGGCGACAGGCACCAGCCTAGACTGTGGCGGAGCTCCAGACACAATAGACGGGGTAAGTTTTTATTAGCGAGCGAAATAGATCATTTAACACCGATATTTTACCGAGTGGTCAAAGCCCACGAAGCGGTCCACCGCCTTCGTGTGCTTATTTGTGAAGTCGAAGCTCAATTTCTCGGCTTAAAAGAAATAAACAACACGGTCGTGGGGTTAATAGTTGGTTGCATGGAAAACGGGCTCCGGCTATGTGCTGGAACGGAGTTGTTCCTGGCTTGCTGTCTGACGCGTTTTTAATGTTTTCGTTGTTTCACATTTGGCATTGAAACCACGCATTTGTAAGCTCTGTTTTAACATAAATAAGCTATTCACGTTATGTTGAATAACCAAGACAACTAACGTGTACATTTTGTACCACGGTTACCAGGTTGTCGGTTCACTTGTAAAGGGGATGCCTAGCAAGCAGCTCTCCCCACGCCGTTCCAAGAAGTAGTCTCACCCCCCAGAAGTCTTAGGGCCTGCGCGTGCGTTGCCAGTTGGAGTTAAGTGGGTGGTGGGAAGGGTCACCGTTTGCAGGTAGCACGAGCTGTGTTTATGGGCTGGGGTGGGGGGGTCACCGTCAACGTCTACATTCATATGAACTGAATGACTCTATAGTGTGAAAGGGTTAATTTGAATGCGTGCGCGTGCGAACTGTGCACTTCGCTATAGCTAACGTTAGTTAACGGCTAACAGCAGTTAGTTAACGTTAGTTAACGGCTAACGGCAGTCACGTTCACCGTCACGGGAACGTTGGCTAACGTTAAATACGTTGTGAAAAACAGAAGCGCACGAGCTAACAGCTTTGTCTGCCCCCCCTCCTACCAGTTGAACAGATGATTATAATTGACCTGTTAATATATAAATCATCACGTTAAGTACGTCATAATCATCTCCATAAGAATAAAGAAGTTAAAGTACAGAGAAGTTTGTAAGTATTTCTTCTGTATAATCTGCTATATAACAAGCAAATTACTATAAATCGTTCGTAAAAAATACACATTTAATGTTGACGCAGTTACTAATAATCATCCTCATGAGAACACTTTAATCTGAGTGTGTTATCACCAGAACAGGGTAGTTTAGATACCAGAGTACAGAGAAGTGTGTATGTGTACTCGCTGCTGTAACAGATAAACCATCAGTTAAACATACCGATGAATGTTTACAAATAGTGAAAGTAGTTTGTGTGTTATGAAACCTATCAGCGGACATATTAGCGTCTGCTTTGGATGAAAATCATTCCGAAACTGCTGCACCTTCTTGTAAACTTATTGCCTTACTGTGTTGTTTGTGTTGTTGTTTTTGTTTGTTCCCCACCGCTCCCTCAGGGTTCCAGCTCATCTCCAAATCCAAACCGGTATGTCGGATGAGGATTCCCGTGCCAGCACCAGCTCGTCTTCATCGCCGCCTTCCTCCAGCCAAACCAGACAGAGGGACGTACTTTGCAAAAAGAAACGGGAGAGCAAAGCCAGCATGAGCAAGACCTCCAAGCTACTTTCCACCAGCGCCAAAAGGTACAAATATACAAACCCCAGATTGTATAGGAATGAATCAGTTATATTCTATATGTATTAGTTGTTTCCTCCTAATAGTTCACTTTAATGCCACTTCAAACACTAATACCAACAACTATAATGTCATTTAGATGAGTCTCGTAAATGTGACACCGTATTAAGATAGCAGCCAAAAAAAAAGTACATTTCAGAAGAACAAGCAGCGTTTTCGAGTACCTCCATCACTGTTCAGCTGTTGTATAAGAAGAGGAACACATGCTTATTACTCCCCAGACAGTAGCTTCAACTGACCACTAATGTCCACAGTCACAAGATTAAATCTCCTCTGAAGAAACAAACAAAACCCTCTCACACTTTATATTACAGCCATGTTTGCAAGGGTTACTTTAAAAATGTAATCCGATACCCATCTTGATTAAATTGTTACCTTTTCTGTCGCCTCAATACCAGATATACTAAAAATGTCACCAATATTTTGCATGTAAAGCAGAAAGAGAACATCAGAGTGAAGTGAGAGTTCTGCCTCCCATATATATATATATATATATATATATATATCCATCCGTTACTCCACAAGTGTGATTATAGTTCACGTTCACAATCGGCAAACGTTGCATCACAAATACATCAGGTTTGAGTAAGTCATCTAATAGGATTGAAAAAAATCCTTCCTCTTCCTTCTCCTCCTCTTCCTCCTCATCTTCTCCTCCTCTTCCTTCTCCTCTCCTTCATCCTTCTCTTCATCTTCTCCTCCTCTCCTTCCTCATCTTCTCCTTCCTCTTCCTTCTCCTTCCTCCTCATTTTCTTTCATTCAATATAATTCATTCATTCACATCCTCATAATCTTTTGTTCTTTATTTTAGATGTAAACGTGGTTCCATGAGTCTGATTATAGTTCACGTCGTTAACAAACTAATATTAAACATGACATCACTCACAAACTGATACAATACATCAGGTTTGAGTTAGTAACATTTCCTGATGACGCTCTGAAGATCAAAGATGGAGGATACGTTTCACTCCTTAGTTTGCCTCGTGGTTGAAGAAAGTGATGTTTTACCAGCGACTGATATTTAATATTCTTATTTCTTGTGTGCAGGATTCAGAAAGAGCTGGCTGACATTACTCTGGACCCTCCGCCGAACTGCAGGTGTGTTTCATTCTCTGTTGTGTTTCCGGTGTCATACTCGTTGTGAACACACTGATCCCACTATCTGAAACCTCTTGTAGTAATAACTCAACTCAGACACAAAGTACCCATGTGACTCAGTGTCCTATTCTTAATGACTGTAACTACACATTCTCAACTGTGTGTAATCATGTTATTACAATTTGACACCAGCAGTGAATGTGGATCCACCACTGATTCCTCATCTGTTCAGTGAGGACACTATGAAGTATATTGAGTACTTGTACTCTTATACTGGCAGGTGTTTAAAAACGGCAGTATTTCCTTTTTAATTCATTAAGAACTAATCTGGCAGTAGAGCTCAACTGATACTGGTTTGAGGCTGATCTAACTGGTACGTTGGGCCGGTTGGAACGTTTACAAACCGGTTTGATATTAAGCCGCACACACCGGACTAATATACCAAACTCTACCACTAGAGGTCGCTGTTTACTCAGCAGCTGCTCCCGTCTGTTAATCACGCCGTCGTTGATCTTTACTAATGTAATATAAGATGGAGTTAGTCTGCTACTCTTTAATTTGACAGAAGGTGTCATAATGACAAATGCCAGTTTGCATAAAATCAACTCGGTTCAAGTGATGTTCCTAAAACCAAATCTATTTTTAGACCTGGGAACATTTTCATATTCGCGATCCTCAAACTAGGGCCTAAGAATATAATCAGTTTTTTTTTCACAGCAATTTTCATACATCACTTTGTGTTCTTAAAGATTGTGATGAACATTTTTCTTTATTTTCTGGCATTTTAAAGGCAGATTCAGTCTAGTTCCAGCTCTAAATTGATATGATATCAGCATGAGGACGTGGATGTGACATTCAGCGGCTCGGTTTACTTCAGTGTTGTGATTTGAAAGATTATCCTTTTAAAACCAGACGCTCTGGGTTCAAGCTGCCATCGCAGCCGTCCTCCTCCCTCCATCAAACCACCATCAATCCGTGCTCCAGAGAGCCTGACCTCTGACCTCTCTGTGAAAGGACGGAGGAATCTCTTCCATCGTGGCTCAGTAGATCAAACGAGCCTCCTCGGGCCACAGACCGTCCCTTAAACGAACCCCGTCTGGAGATTTGTTGCTCACAGACTTCAGACTTCTTCTCATGTATGAAACGGTAATGTAGTAAAGCGTAGCTGGAGATTTGATTCTCTCTACCGGCCACATTAGAGGCAGCCGGCCTTCATTTGAAAGTGTTCGCTGCAGGGAAGCACACGACATGTGTAAATGTTTAACTTTACCACATAACTCGTTTCTTAAATGTGCGTTTGAGTAATGGAAAAGTGCAGCAATCTGAGGGAGGACTTATTAATTAAAAACTTGATAAATCACAAAATTTGCGTCCAGTTCTTGCAAGACGGGAAACAATAGAAACGTTTACGTGTATCCTAGTAAGCTTTCCATCTTAAATATATTCTCTGTCTGTATCATGACGACAGGGCGATGATGCTCTTGGTTAAATTAACGGCTTAAATTGTGGCTTACGGACGGATGACTGCAGCTGGAGGTTCACACTGAAGGACTCCAGCCATCGCAGGTTTTAGCATTCTGCCATTTTAAGTAAATTCATAATAAATAACCTAATTACAACAGTGAAGTGTGACAGCTTACACCAGGCCAGCACACTCTCAGTTAAATGTGTTTAAAAGAGGACCTCTTGTTTTGTGATAACTTAAATGTTCATAATATGAAAACACACTCAAGCTTAACTTGTTATTGAAGGAGAAGGTAGCACGTCTGCATGTTGGTGATATCAATTTAAGGAAGTCAATAATTCTTTATTTCTGGCTCGTATCATGGAGTTGGAGCTCGTTTATTGTACAGATTTAAATTAACAGGGACTGAACGAGTTGAGACAAAAATGGAAAAAATCTCATTATCTCCCAGAACATAAAGTCACATTCTCAGATCTCTGGTTTGTTCTTCTAACCAGCAGTCCAAAGCCCAAAGTTATCCAGTTCTCAATGATATGAAACAGAGACAACGGCACACAGTCAGGAAAAGAGTGGTCCGTCAAACCACCGATCATTTCAGCTCCATATTGAATGAATCCCTCTCGTTAAATGAAAACTCTTCCTCTGGGTTACTGTCCCTTTAAGGGACTTTTTATCTGAGGTTGTATTATAATGAGTTTTGCTGCTGCCGCTCTGGAAAACTCTTGAAGCTCAAGCTGTTTGACTGTTGAAAGTCTTTTGATTTATGGAAAAAGGCTTTTTCCAACTGTATCTGATGTCGTTAAACCAACATATATCTTGTAAATGAATTGCCCCTGTATCCAATTCCTGCATCACTTAATGGATTATCATTAAACACAGATGAGAGACGACGGGTGTTTGGACAGAATGTGCTCACATCATTAAAATCAACCACTCTGAAGTCTTTCATCTGGTGAAAGTTTTCATTTGTCACTTTAGCTGTTATATCTTTTAACATGAGTCCAGACTGTGCTGCCTGGATTGATTTTCTCTGTCGTAGTTGGCACTGAAACTCAGAGTGAATGTTGCATCAGAGCTCAACATCTGTCCCCCCCACCCCACCCCCCTTACACCCCCACCCCCCCAGCAGTTTTGGATCGATACCACTGTGTCTTGTACTCGTGACCCCGAGGGGTTCCAGACCACATGTTCTGCATGTAAGAGGGATAAAAGCCACGGCTGCTTTGAGCAGAAATCAATACAGATTACAGATCACGAGGCATCGACACGTCACCGGGGATTTGCTTTGAACTGAGGCGTCTTCAGAGTGATGCACGGGGGGGAAACGAAACTTTTGAAGGGGGGGAAACGACCATCTTTGTGACCGCTAATCTGTGAAAGTCACTGTGCAGAAAGATATCGGTGCATTTTTTTAGGTCCTTATGTGACCAAATACATTTGTTATCTTTGCCTTCATCCATCAAAGGCAAGTACAAGATATCCAACGATGCTTAAGGGAACATTTCATACGGTATATCTACTCCTGCGCAATGAATTGGGTTGAATTTGCCTCTTTAATGCCACATGCAGCAGCTCCTGAATGAAAAGTGTCCTTTTATAGTCTGTATAGAGACAGAAAATACAACGCCCACGTACTCCACTGCTGCCAGTGTGCTTTAGCTGTGCAGCGATTCATCAGGTTTGTACACACAGTCCATGAATGAGTATGTGACTTTCATACTGCAGTACACACTGCAGGGATTACTCCACTGATGTAGAGTTAGCAGTATAATAAGCATATAACCTATATATTGATACGGTCTTCCTCGGTGTGTGGGTGTCTTTTCCTCTGACGTTATTTATTTATTACATGCTGTGTTTACTGAGAGATTTATTTTGTAATGTTTTAGTCTTGTAAGTGAAAGTGTTGTTTTTGTTTCTGCCTCCAGCGCCGGCCCCAAAGGAGACAACATCTATGAGTGGAGGTCCACCATCCTGGGACCCCCGGGCTCCGTGTACGAGGGGGGCGTCTTTTTCCTGGACATCGCCTTCACCCCCGACTACCCCTTCAAACCCCCCAAGGTACTGATGTTAGTCCTGCGTGTCTGGTACACTACTCATGCAGACCGTCAACAAAGATTAACGTAGTGCACGGATAGCAGTTCTAAAACGAGACAGATTGGTATAAAATCTGCTTTTTACAGCTGCACTTCACATGTTGACCCCAGAGATTCATATTCAAAAGAAAATGTAAACTTTATTACGAAGAAATCCTTTAACCTGACGTCAGTAATCGACACAAAGCTGACTGACTTCCTGACTCGTTATACTCTATATGACTCGTTATACTCTATATGACTCGTTATACTCTATATGACTCGTTATACTCTATATGACTCGTTATACTCTATATGACTGTTCTATATGAAAGTTAAGTTCTGACGTGGGGGAGTTCCCTCTGAAGTCAAAGATGTTTTTTTGATATTTAACAGGAGTTAAGTGTAGTGTTTTTTTTTAGTGGAGTATTTTAAACCACAGATTTGTTGATTTGTTTTTGTTTTTGTTTTAATGGGAATAAAGACGCATGTCGCCCAGTTCCACAGTGTAGCTCAATGACGTGTTTTTAATAATGTTTTAAACCACAGTGGAGCTCCATAGCACAGAGGAGAACAACAGGAGAAATATAGAAATAAAACACCAAGTTATTTTTAGCTGCATTAAGCCTCCTGCACTTAAGTGTTGGCTATCGATTTAGCTTTTGTCTGGCGTGTTGGAGCATAAACAAAGTGCTTACTGTCTTCTACTCGAGGCACATCTCATCCTGAAGCATTCTATGGGAAACCTGCTCTCTGTAGTGTAAACACACATTTACATTCTGATTTCTTTTGGAAGTTTAATAATAAGAGCTTTCTTTTCTTTTCCAGCTCAGTGCTGGTTAGTCTGTGTACTTTACTCCCCTGTAGACGTGCAATGAGTCGAGGGATAGTGGTTCATTTGTTAAGCAACAAATATGGTCGTTATGATGGCAACAAAAATCCCAATCTCAATGGTAAACAAAACAGTTTTGTTTGTGTTACCAAGGCTCATTTCCAGTGGGATACAACACATATTAAACATATCACAAATAGTGATATTAGCCTAAAAACAGGAGAGTTAAGAACATGTTATGGAGATATTAAAAACAAAGCAGCACCGTTTCTGCTGTTAGTTTTAAACTAAAGCAAACTGTTATTAAAATATGTTTCTCAGCTCTGTATTGTTGACAGAATACATATTTGGTCGTGTGTGTGTGTGTGTGTGTGTGTGTGTAATTTCGTTTGCTGTGTAAACATCAGCAGGAAACAACCCATTTGAAGTTAGGAAGCTGAAGGTGAACCTAAGATTTAAAGCTACCCATAGAAGCCGCTTCTGTCTGAGAATCAAAGCTGCTACATGTGCTGCAGCTCTACACCGACAGGCCAACACAATGCATTTCTAAAACAATGTTGTTTTCAGTGATTCATCAGAACATTTACAGTAAATAAATCAATGAGACGTTCTCTTTGTAATATTTCTGTGAAAGCAGAAAGTCTTTCCTGTTAACAGTACCTCCTTTCAGCCACCAGAGGGCTTTCATGCGCTGCAGATGAAGATAAATGTTGGGTGAAGCCCTGACTGCAGGTTTCATACACAGTTTAGACTTAGAACATTATAATATTATAATGTAAGTATGTGATAACATTTAGGTTCTCAGTATTAACTAACTATTTTGAGTTAATACCATTTGATGTGGTGCTAAATTTAACCGTTTTTGACCGCTCAAGAATTGATAAAAGACCTTGAGGAAAAATCCATGCACTGACTTGGTATCAAAAACTTTTTTACATTTTGAGATTTCTGCAAGAATGGTATTTTGTGGTGATTGGATGACGAGCACTTTTGTTCTGGAAACTGCCAAGAAACCCCGTTATTGTATACATGCGTAAATACATTCTTCTGAGATGTTTTCTCACCCTGACTGTGAACGGCATCCTGTCTGTGCGTCCTCAGGTAACCTTCCGTACGAGGATCTATCACTGCAACATCAACAGTCAGGGGGTGATCTGTCTGGACATCCTGAAGGACAACTGGAGCCCCGCGCTCACCATCTCCAAGGTGCTGCTGTCCATCTGCTCCCTGCTCACAGACTGTAACCCAGGTGAGACTCTGCAGCGAGTCCGTGAAGGCTCAGGTAGTTAGAGATCACACTGAAGTGTCCCGAGGGGGACTTCACAAGCTCAGTTATATTTTAAATGTTCAGCACGCTGCAACAAGCAGCTTAAATAACAGTTTCCTAATGGCAGCCATGCACTGAAGGGAAGCTTTTTGTCTCGCCGGCATTGTTCAAATCTCACGTTTTCCGCTCTACTTCTCTCTAATGTGTCCGCTTGGAGAGACGGGAGGAAGGGAAAGTGAATCATACCGGTCAGGCTCAGGAGCCTTCTCACAATGTGATTCAAAATCACTTTTCAAGCTCATTAAATGCGGCCTGAACAGCTTTTCCATGGGTTTCACTAAACAACAGGAACCTGACACTAGTGTGTGTGTGTGTGTGTGTGTGTAAATGTAGTCGGTGCTGCCACCTTGACAGGAAACCCGCCGTCATCTGGACATCCTATCCAACAACTGCGACTCGAGAGAGTGAAAGCAGAGAGGGATGTTTTGCATTCTACCCGCCGCTTGGGGCCAAAAACAGAAGTTAATTTTGTACCGTAGAAGATTCAATGACACACGACGTCCAACTGCTGCTGAAGATTGTGACACGACAGATAATATATAATGTACACAAAAAACTACTTTCCAATCCCTAGAAGGTATTCTTAGTAGATCTTAAAACGGGTTAGTTGAGGTTGTGGAATCGGGACTAAAATGTTATAAACACATCTGGAACGAAATCCTCAGACGTTAATCCATCAAAACAAAATGTAAACGACATGAGACATGACCTGTATGAACTCTTCTGTCTGTGTGTTTTGTTAATATAATTTCATGCAGACAAACTTAACTTGAAACTTATTCTCTCCGTTCAGCCGACCCTCTGGTGGGAAGCATCGCCACCCAGTACACGACGAACAGAGCGGAGCATGACCGGACAGCCAAACAGTGGACGAAGAGATACGCCACATAGACCCACAGAGGACGGTGGGGGGGAAGGGGGAGGGGCGTTTGTGTTGGGGGGGGTTATTTCTATCTCAGATTTTTAGTACTTTATTGTCTGGTCTATTTTTTGCTTCCTGATTAAGTTATCTCTACAAATATGGTAATAAAGGAACACAATGGAAAGGAAGCGTCGTTGGCCTCCTTTCTTCTTCTGCATTGTTGTTTAAACGTTGGATTCTACCTGCAAACCTGCTGCACATCAGTAATCACTCCATGTAACGAGTGTCCTCGTCTCTCTGATGCCCGGCTGGTTGAAGAACTTCATAAAAACATTAAAGTCAGAGTTTGCTTCAAATATCTGCCAAATAATTATAACTGGTGCAGTTAGAAATAATAATGATGCTGCCAACACTACTATGTCTTATCACACACTAAGTTACTCTTTCACAAGTTAAAAGCGTCAATATTATTTAATTATTTTACAGTTTGTCATTAATTCAGACAACAGAATTTCACTCAAAGTAATAATCCTGAAGATGTGTTATGTTGAGTCACTGAATGATGTAACACGCTGGTGATCGAGCCTTGATGGCTCATTGATGAAATCGTGGCATCTGTGTCGACATTCCCGGGACTCCCGACACTTTGGATCTCCGGGAATTAAGAAAAACGATTCACCGCCAGAGAGAACTAAACCGATATCTTCAAGATTATAAACTTAAACATCAAATGATCCTCACAATGCTATCCCAGTAAATACTAAATGATTTCTCTACACTAGCGTCACTGCATTTTCCTCATTTATCACTTTATTTTTGTCTTGTCTTGCAAAACACACCAACTAACTCAGCATCATAACCGGTAACCAGTTAACCAGCACCAGCTCTCCACTCCAGTGTTTGTTCTTCTAGCTTAAGCTCGACATAATCCTCCTGATGTCTTTGTGACCTCCTTTTCACTCGGTGTTAGTTAATGCGTTGGATTTGCTGAATGAACGCCTGAATGACTTTTAATGTCACAGTGACGTTTTCCACATCATGTAGGTCAGGAGAGGCCAAGAAAAGCTGTGTTATGTTCCTTCTGTTGGCAACTGTCTGACTCTCCACTTCAGCTCTGAAACATTTGATTTTCACGTTGCTGTAAAGCAAGAATACAAAGTGTTCCCTGTCAGTAACACTTTGCTTTACGTATGTATACCTTCACAGTACAAAACAATGGCTTCACTGTCTTCCAAAACATTTCATATCCTGTCACCTGCTGTCTGAAATATTGATATCATAATAATACAGAGATGCTAATATTGTGTAAATACTCCAGCTCCCTTTAAATACTTTTTTAAAATACAGTTTTGGTTACAGACTCTTATCTTCACCTCTCTACACTCGTATTATGTAATTAATTTGCAAAAAGAGAGACAAAAACGCACAAGAAGCAGAGTTAAAGATGAGTTTGACTGATTGTTTTACCACGATAATCGCATAGTTCAAATTGTTTGGTTAGTCTGCCTACAGACAGTTTAAAGGGTGTAATATTTGTTCAATGAAACGTTTTTTCTTTGTCTGTAAATGTTTAACAGATATGAACATACCTACGTATTCTCCAAATATTTTAGTTGAATATGAACTACTCACTCAGTGTCTGCTAATTTGAGAGTGAGTAGTTCAAGTATATGTCGGTGTTTTCGTCTATATATCTGTTGAAGTCTTGAATCTCAACCAAGAAGAAATGTTACAAATACTTTTTAAAACTATTTGCCTACTATTGGATTATCTGCTTTTTCTGTCTGTCCTTTACCTCAGAAACTCAGTGATACATCTCAGAAACGTGATGTTAGATAATAAGTATATATTTCTTATTGTGAAGAACCCCAGTCAGTTTACTCCTCTGAGCCGCTGAGCTTCATTTCGGTCCAATTATTGTCCATTAAAAACACATCAATAAGCCACGCTAGTGCACTGTAGCGACAGGTTCCTTCAATACGAGAAACCCAGGTAATCTAATTAGTTCTGAGTCAATAGTCAGAAATACACCAGCTTGAGTAAGAAAAAAACTACAGTGACAGATTATTAAGAAAAAACTACAGTGACAGATTAATAAGAAAAAACTACAGTGACAGATTAATAAGAAAAAACTACAGTGACAGATTAATAAGAAAAAACTACAGTGACAGATTAATCAGCCTGTTTTAAAAATGAAACTGAGCAGCTTTACGCCTTCCCTGGGAATGAGTGAGGCCGAGAGCAACAGACAGGAAAGTATTGAGTCAGTAAAAATATAGATTGTTCATTTGTCATTTGTTCTGTGTCATTTAATTTTCTTTTAGTTAACCAGCTAAACGTGTCCTTCAGGAGAGACCTGACCAAGAGGGCGGGGCGTAAAAACATTATAACCAGTACGACCAGACACATGACATCATGAGTAAAGTTTGATTTTCCCGCAGTGAGTTTGCTTAAATAAAGTAATAGAAGAACATTTTCCAAAACAAGAAAGAATACAACTGCTGCTCAGCATCTGGCATGTTTTTGATGTGTTTGAATATTAAATATTTTTAAAAACGGTTTCAACGTTCAGTTCTTTAAATACTTCCGATGATTAAAAGATTGAGATGACCTGCCGAGTGAAAACCATTTCCCAGAAGTCTGAACAGATGGCTGAATGTGGTAAATAAATACTCCCTCGCTCTGCACAAGTGTTAGAAGTGCACGTGTTTGTTAAACTGACTCAGGGATTTTTGACTCCCTCACTTCTTTTAATAATCTTCTTCTGAAAGAGTCTTTTCCAGGAACTCGACATTCTTTTCTTTTCTCCAAAACAGAAAGTGGCCAAAGTTAACAGTTCACTCATTTTAGAAACACAGCTGGTTTTGCACACATGCAGTAACAAATCGTAAATGTGAAATTACTCTGGTCAGCAAGTGCAAATGTTAATCATTCACATCCATCATTCAATGACTCAAGACCGATTACACTGGGAATATCGAGGCATTCAACTTTAAATCAACACGTTGTCACGTGGGCTAATGGTAGCAATGAAACTAGTAAACTAGAAAAAGTCCCTCAAGTGAATCTAAAACATGAAGTGTATCTTTCATTTATTTATTATTTAAGGAACAACACAAACATTGAACACAAACTTAAAGCACAAAGAGTGCTGGGTGGGCGGGCGGGTGGGTGACGGGGTTAGTCCCCCTTTTCTGTTTTCTCACTAACAACTGAACCCGTTTCCTATTTTCTACAAACGCCAAAATCTTTGCACTTATATAACAGCCCTGAGAGTAGAATGACGCATGCTAGCATTTAAGATCACGTTATTACACATCATTATAACAAAGGTGACTAAACGTCGGGAACATTTTGTGCTGCCAAGAATATTAAAGCAGATCAGCCAGAGTACAATTCCTGTGGTTAGTTTGGCGTTGATAGAACATTTTGTACGCTGTGGTTTCTAATTGATCCAGTACAGAGATTGCATTGGAAGGTCACGTTTGTGTAAATTTGAAGTATTTCAGAGCAGAACTAGGATCACTGTGAAGAATAAATTTCAGTCTGCAAAAACTTGGTTTCAAAATAATGTGGTTAGGGTTTAATTTAGTCACAATTTGACAACACGATGCCGTGTGGGTGGAGGCCAACGGATTCGTTTAGTAGGAAGGATTCGATCAAATCCCTTCCCTCGACTAACTACTCTGATGACACTCTGACGTTTCACTGTGACTTGAAGTTCTGTTGAAACATATTTCACTTTGACACCTGTACGTCATTTCACCTGCAGTCATCAACTCTTTTGAATTCCTGGGGGAGTTTGGGGACTTCCGTGTGAAGCCAAAAAATCACGAAACACAATTTCACTTTCACTTCTTAGAAGTCAGCCTAACGACTGCGTGTACGAAGGGGCCCTTTTTGTACAGTGGGAGGAGACACTGGTGTCAGTCTGGGACATCTATTTCCAAGTATTCAATTTAATTAAGATATTACTTGAGCTTGTGTGGTCGTAAAGGAAAAATAAACATGTGGCAAGCCACATCTAAATCAACCAATATGACACAAAACATACTTAACTTAAACATAAAGCTACTATGAAGAACTTTTGGCGGTCCCTGTGGACAAAAGCTGCAGTGTTTTTCCGTACAATCCGACAATAAGAACGCATTAATAAGTATAACTATATAGAAACAGACAATCTTCTTGCTATTGGTCTTGTTTACCTATGTAGGTCATATAGAGCCATCCCTATTACATTGAGTCTGTTTGATAACCAGGTAAAAGTTCATTATAGTAACTTTAAGTACAACAGGCTGCTTGAGTAAATGTACTTAGTTGCTTTCCATAAAGAGAAAAAAACTACAAATTAAGACAAAACTGTAGCAAAATTCATGGTCGCCACCGGCCGCACCATGTGCATGCACCATACAACCATATAATATATAAGTAGTATATTACTGGTTTGAATCCAAAGTGGCAGAAACAACAAAACATTAATTTTTCAACCTGTGGATGACGGCTCTGGGAGACGGACCTTCAGTTAGCAGTTTTTCTCAAATTCTCAAAAAGGCTACAATTTGAGGTACTTTTACTTGAGTTGTTCAATTGTACGTTACTTAATACTTCAAATTATACTACAATTATCTGACAGCTGGAGTTACTAGTTACCTTAAAGGTTTAGATTACACAAATAAAACACATGATGAACATATAACAAGTCATTCTGTGCTATAGATTCATCTATTCCACAGTATAAAGTATTTAAAATGTGCGTCACCTCCTCCAGCTGCAACTTTAAAATGCTGCAATAAAATAGACATAAAAGTGTTTAAATACACAAAAGACAGACGTGGGACTCTGTGGAACATAAAGTGCATATAGATATGTTTTTAAATGATGCTTTGATATGTCACCAGAGGCTGCCTCTCTGATGTTTTGGGGTTAGCTGTTCCACAGTTTAGGAGCATACGTGAAAAAAAGCTGCATCTCTAGTTTATAATTGTGTATTCCTGTAAACGTGGAGAACATTTAATTTGAATGGCTGTTGACAGTACTTTCAGATTTAATGAGTGATAGAAAGACATATCCAAAATCACCTCCTTAAAACCAAAGTGTCAACAAACCTTTATCCAAAATCCAGATTTCTGCTCTGGAAATATATGCAAATTATCCATTAATTGATACCAGACTGCCTCATTTCATTTTATATTAAAACATAATTGTCATAATGTTGGTAGGCTAATCAACTGAGGAAGTCATGACGATATATATTTGTGACGTGTTTATCCCTTCTTCCACCATGTTACTGTGGAAGGGAATGTACTTTTTATGTTTTACTCTGCAACATTTAACATTTATAACACAGAAGCACGCTCCACGTGCTTCTTTGCTCGTGTACAGCTGCAGCTTGTTACTGACAGAAACAACCAAAAAAAACAAAAAGTGCCCTGGTCGTCCACGGACAGCGTGACTGTACTCTGCTGCTCCGGTTCAGCGCTGTTCACGTTGTGCTCTGCAACGTGACCTGCCGTGTTACCATTCCTCTCTCCGCACAATCCACGAGGCGCTCTGGCTCCGCCCCCCTCCGGTGTCCTGAAAGTGTGTCACTGGGTTAAAGTGGCTCGAGACGCAAAGGGCGGATGGCGAGGGGGCGTGTCCGACAAAATAGGTCACATGGGCAAGCCCACGATTGAGAACATTTAGTTCTCCTGACGAGCTGCTGCTCCTCACACAACAAGAGGGGAGCTCCATCGATCCAGACGTGTTTGACTTCTTCTTCTCTCTCTCGAGATACTCTGCAGATTATTCAAATATAGACTTCTGACATGAGCGTCATCTCTAAAGTACTCGCGCACAAACGTCAAGTTTAATTGTTCTTTCCGTGAGATTTGCAGACGTCGTGACAGACAGTTTGAATCATCTGTTGGAGAGATTTTTCCTTGTTTCCCTCGATCACAGATGCCTGAGGACATGGGGACAACCAGGCCTGGTAAGAGGACACTTCATCGTGATTTTAGGCAGAGAATGTAATGCCATTCATTGCAGGCACTGTGCAGAGTGGTACCGTTTAAAGGGAATAACGGGCTTCTATAAAAGTCCCACTTCATTCTTAAAATACCTCGCCATTACAGAGCATCAGGTTTGATTTCGTCTTTTTATTTATAGTAGATAAATCATTTGTGGTTCCCATAATTACTTTTTTTTTAATGGATCCAGGGAATAAAGTATTTACTAAGAGGGCAGCACACAAATGAATGGAGTCCTGCCGTTGAAACTTGTTTTTCAGCACTATGATCGTCAACAATGTCAGAAAATGACACAATTTTAGAAGTTATGTAAACGTTGTTTATGAACTGTAAAAACAACGCTACTGCACCCCGGAAACCGTGTCTTATAAACGGGGTTAGGAGTGCCACAGTTCCGCACGACGCGTCGGTGCTACATTTACATTTGACACAACAACCGTGTTTATCTTCCCCACGTCCCCGCTCACATGGCCAGCGTAGCCGAGGCCATGTGTTCCGTGTGTACACGCTCTCATAGGAACACTCCTCTGATTGGCCGAGGGGCGTGTCCTCCGCGAGCACGCGTCTGAGGTTAGAGCTCTTCTCGGATTGGCTGGAGGCGGAGCCCGTGACGCAGAGCGTTGCATAAATCACAGTGTACACAGGACGCTCCACGCGAAGCTGCACCGCGAGGTACACGTGAGACCGGAGGAGGGAGGGGTGGGGAGGGGAGAGACAGCAGCCACTGACCTAGATTGTTTTCTGTTCCTCGCGCTTCGGTTTCGCAGAAATTCATGACAGGTTCACGTGTGGGTGTGGGCCGTAAAACAAAAAGCGAACAGTCATGGTTGAGGTTAGGTAATCATCTGTTTAATTTAGGAAAACAAATCAGGCTTTTGCACAGATATTCAAATAAAGACTAAAACTTACCAACCATATTTAACCTACCAAGTCACGTAACCAGTTAACTTTACGTTCTTCGGGGTTTTAACGGTCTTTGAACAACATGGGAAACATATTTAAATAATAAATGAAGCCCGAAAGTTTTTTTGGAGAAAATATAGGAATTTGCTTAACAAATAACTTTTAAGACAAAGTACATGATGATGGGGGGGGGTATACATTACTATAAAAACAACACTTAAATGTCAGTTACGTCGTTTTGACGTTACGTTGTTCTCTGCGTGAGGTGACGTCACACTCCAACTTTGTTTTTCAATTTCTTTCTTCCTGCAAACACAAGACTTTCCAGAGAATGTATAGTCATGTAAACTTGACTCAAATGCATTGAAAAGTCTTGGAAATAATATTTATTTTTTGATGTGTATGAACCCTGATTCTAGTGCCTTGCCCAAGGGCACTTCCCATAGAAGCTAATCTATTTATTACTTGGTGTATCAGTGACACTTTTTTAAAAAAATGTTTTCAAACAAAACAAACCGGAGCTGTAATCCGGCCAAACCTGTCATTACACAACCCCGGGTGGTTGTTTTTCCTCTTTTTGTTTAGCATTCTTTTCTTCCCGTGACGGCTCTAGTTGCTTCAGTGACCTTGTCTGGAGCACACTCCCACAGCACGGAGACACACGTTTGTTATGTAATGGTGTTATCCAACCAGCCCGCCCTGTGGCTGATGACAGCAGATCAATCTGAGCAGTGAACAAACCAAACCAGGAAACAAACACATTCTGGACTGCTTGTCTAGGCGTGTCAAGTTGGCACATTTATGTACTTGATGTACTGCCAAGTGTAATTTGGCACACAAAACAATCCATTTTTTTTAATGACTGCGGTTTAACTCGTGCTATAGTCTCTTGTGTCACAGTGACTGTGGCATGCTTGGTGTTTTAGTAAAGTGGAATTACATTGAATACCTGGATGTCGATATGAGCGTGTGTTTGTAATTGCATTGAAATAAAAAGGGAGGTAATTAACGTGCTATAACGGTGTCGCCGTCTCTCCACAGGAGGAGTCATCGCCTACATTTCCTCCGGCTCCGCCTCCAGCCCGGAGTCCTTCATGCTGAGCACCAGCCCCAGCAAAAGCTTCCTGACCACATCGCAGTCGGTGTCCCGCCAGTCGCTGCCCAGCAGGGCCGTGGGCATGGTGGTGGACATCGCCCCGCCGGCCAAGCAGCGAGGCCACGGCGCGGAGAAGCCCGGGCGCTCCTCCACATCAGCCAAGAGCAGCATTACCAGTAAGCACAGCATCAAAAGTCTTGTTGTTATTATTAAGACTATTGAGAAAGATGTTGCGTATCTGATCTGGTTACCCATAAATCATTGCTTATGTCTTGTTTGTTTTTTTTTTCTCTCGCAGAAATTAACGGCATGGTGCTGCTGTGTAAGGTGTGTGCCGACGTGGCCTCGGGCTTCCACTATGGCGTCCACGCCTGCGAGGGCTGCAAGGTGAGACGGGTTCCCCGAGAAAGAAGCTTGATTCACATCCTGTTGCTGACTTTGAATGACTCGTGCTCACCACGAAGGTCTTGTGTTTTCTTCAGGGCTTCTTCAGGAGAAGCATCCAGCAGAACATCCAGTACAAGAAGTGTCTTAAGATGGAGAACTGCACCATCATGAGGATCAACAGGAACCGCTGCCAGCAGTGTCGCTTCAAGAAGTGTCTGTCCGTCGGCATGTCCAGAGATGGTGAGCAGTCAAGTTGAATTATTTACTCCACAGCTCGTTAAATGTTGTTTAATCTCGACACAATCTAACGGCACTCCTTTTTACTCCCAGCTGTCCGATTTGGCCGCATCCCAAAGAGGGAAAAGCAGAGGATGCTGCTGGAGATGCAGAACGCCATGAACAACATGATGAGCAACAACAGCCAGCTGCACAGCATGCTGCAAGGCCACCAGAGCCCGCCGCTGCCCATGGAGGCCATGACCAGCGACGCCAGCTCCCCGCTATCCTCTTCCTCCTCCTCGTCCTCCTCCGCTTCCGACTCCCCGTCGTGCTCCAACCCTTCCTCCCCGCGGTGCCCCCAGGACTCCGAGTCCGTAGTTTCCATGGACATAAACTCCAGCTCGGCCTCCTCCTGCGCGTCGGACAGCGGCGAGGACGAGGCCGCGACGGCGAGCAGGCAGCACCGCGAATCCTTCGCCTACAGCCAACAGGGCCAGGCCTCGCCCTCGTCCGGGACGAGCTGCTGGAACAACAATGTGGTTGTAGGAGGTTACCAGCACGGCTCTTACAGTAACGGCCAGCACGTCGCCAACACCGCTTACAGGGAGGAGAGGGGAGTTCACCAGCAGCAGCACCAGCAGCACCAGCAGCACCAGCAGCAGCACCAGCAGCAGCAGCACCAGCAGCACCAGCAGCAGCTCCTCAACGGCACCCCTAGCTGTAATCCATCAGAAGATGGCCAAAGACAGCATGGCGTGAACACACACACTGCCTCAAGTGGTTATAATGGACCAACCAGCTGCGTGAACAGCAGAGCGCACTTGGTGAGTGATTTGTCTTTCTCGTTCTTGAAATTCATATAAATATTCTTGAATCCAAACGTAAAGTTGGACGCCTCATCCTCCTCCCTGACTGACCGACTTGACTTGGTGTTTTTTTTTTTTTCCAGGTCTGTCCCATGAACTCATCACCCTACGTGGACCCCCGCAAGCCGAGCCAGGAGGTCTGGGAGGAGTTCTCCATGAGCTTCACCCCGGCCGTGCGGGACGTGGTCGACTTCGCCAAGAGGATCCCGGGCTTCCGCGACCTCCCCGAGCACGACCAGGTCGGCCTGCTGAAGGCCGGAACCTTTGAGGTAATAAACACTTCATGTTGTTTTGTGCTTGCTTTTGAAGTCAAACGCGGCGGGCTCCTCGAATACAGGAGCCACTGTGGCTTTTAACAAACAGATAATATTTACTCTGATAACAGTTGGAATGGAAATGAAAGAGACTTCACAAACTCTCTTTCGGTGCATTCTATATACAGCATTAAAGACATTTCTAGTTATAAGAGATGAGACGTACAGTCATCACAAGATGTCTTTACCTGCACACAACTCAAACCAACCTCCTCCCCCGCTCTCTTCCCAGGTGCTGATGGTCAGATTCGCCTCTCTGTTCAACGTGGTCGAGCGCACGGTGACCTTCTTGAGCGGCAAGCGCTACGGCCTCGACACGCTGCGGTCGCTGGGCGCCGGCGAGCTGCTCAACTCCATGTGCGAGTTCAGCGAGAAGCTGTCGACGCTGCGGCTCGACCCGGACGAAATGAGCCTCTTCACGGCCGTGGTGCTCGTCTCAGCCGGTAAGAGAACTTGTCTCCGGATATGTCGACGTATGTGAGGACATAAGAAAGGGGAGAAGTCGTACGAATACAGCTCCACTGTTACTTTTTATACCACAACTTGTTGTATTACTACTACTGTTGGCATAACAAGGCTCTGGAGCACCAAATATCTGCTCCATTCTATATAAATCAACGTATAAACACACAAACGGTAGTTAAAATATGTAGTGTGACGTATTTAAAAGCTAAATGTACATTAGCATTAACCCGTTCTCCCTCCTTTCTCTTCTGGTACAGATCGCTCAGGGATCCAGGACCTGAGCTCAGTGGAGGCCCTGCAGGACAAACTGATCCGGGGTCTGAGAAACCTGGTGATGCAGAACCACGGCGAGGAGTCGGCCACCACCTTCACCAAGCTGCTGCTCAAGCTTCCCGAGCTGCGTTCACTCAACAACATGCACTCGGAGGAGCTGCTCTCCTTCACGGTGCACCCGTAAAAAAAAAAAAATTAAAAAAAGCTTCCTCCACCTTATCCACACACCTCCACCACGACCTGCCTCTGACTGCGCCCTCGCCCTCCTCCGCACCCGACCAACCCAGTTGCGCGTTTGTTTCTAGAATGTATTCAAAGTTATTTTTTATTCTATTTTTGTTGAGCAGACCCGAAGAGAGAAGAATATAAAGACTTACTGTATTTATAGAAGAGCATGTGGCACGCAAACAAAAGTGTCGGCGCTTTTTATATTTTACGAGAGAACGAAGAGCACCCGACTGGCTTCATGAAAACGATGCGAGTAGAAACCAATCGCTCGACCCAAAAGCCGTTTAATTCCAAAGTGTGAACTCTGACGAGCGGGCGAATGTGAGAGACCGTATATACCGGACGTACCGCATGTTGGTTTGGTCCAATAATTCTTGACTGATGTCGGCGAGGACGGCAAGACATCGGAGAAATGTATCGACGAATGTGTGACGACCGCTGCTAATGCATGGCTGTACTTAATGCAAACAGGTTTTACTCGGGTCTTCTCCCTCTCGTCTCAGAAAGCATCAGTTCACAGTTTCACTGTAAATAGTGTCGAATGTTTTGTTTTTATTTAATGTTTTTTTTTTTTTTTTACAACTGCCTGCACACTGTCTGGTGACTTTTCTGGGGGAGTCGGTGACGCCTTTTTTTTTTTTTTTCTTTTTTCATCAACACTACATTTGCACGTGTTCTGGAGCAGAAAAACCAAGTAACATGTAAATGCTACATGTACACATTGTCACACGTGTTTCTGCTGTTTTCCCATTTGTTTTTTGTAAATGTATATTTGTTTTTGTGCTTTCAGCATAGCACTGAATTTTGAAGTTTGTCATCCATTTTGTTGAAATGTTTTTTTCAACTGGCAACACTGCCATATGTAAATAACTATATAAATATATACATATATAAATATCGGATGAAAATATGATATAATATGAATAAAAGTAAAAAATACTCTTTGTACTTTGTGTGTTTACTGTAAGTATTTTTGAATGAATGAAGCTGACTTCAGAGTGACTGTTGTTCTCCACTAGGTGGAGCTGTTCAACAGCATCTTGACTTCAACTCCCTTTCTACTTGATAACCTGAAGTTACCAGTTTGTCTTTGGAAATTGTTGCCTAATATGAATGAGCTTAGCCTCCAACGATCCACCTGCAGATCAACTTTCCAATTTACTTGCATACATTTCAAATCTGCTGAGCTTCAACAAAATCCATTTTAAAGAAGACCTGAAACTTCCCACTTCCCATCATCTCCACATCGTCCCATATTGTCTCCATAACACCAATGCCACAACCATTGTTCTACCACATTAAGCCTGTTAGAAATGTGCAATCTTCTTTGAGTTTCAAATTTCCCCAGGGTGTAAAAAAAACACAAAAGCAAAAAAATATCTAAATGTATTTATTATCAATGAAGTTTTTCCACCTTTTCTTTCCAATAAGCACCATTTTTTTTGTCAAAGAAACTTTACAATATAAAGAAATGTACGAAGAAGGAACCGCTCATTTTTCTACATCAGACATTTAGGATCTGAAACTACCCTTTAGTAGAGGTTGAGCCCAAATGACCCCAAAAAACAGAACCGGGTGGCATTTTAGGCTTGATTACAATCAGATTGATGCAGAGCAGGTGCACAGACTTGCAGCCAAAATGAAAGACCCTAAACTTATAAATCACCTTAAAACAAATGGGTGCAGAATACACTCACACTGACAGTTAATACAGTACAAGCACCATGCCGTATTTTTTATGCTAAGACAAAGAGCCAAATCTCCAAATCAGTGACCAGAGAGGTATAAAACAAATCTTTAAACATCTGAGGAAGCCTTACTGCGCAGATTTTAAACTAAAAGCACAATTTTATATCTGTATCTGAAGGACAACAGAGATTACAAACCACAAAGGGACAATGTTTTAACAAGAGATTGTCTTTGAATTCAAAACCCTCCGAATGTAAACTTTCAACAAACATAAATGAGTTTAGAGTCCAACGATACATGAGCAGCCTGCGGCACGACTTTCTAGCTCAGCTGCATTCCATCAAGCACAAAGTGAAAACACCTATAGAGGTGCGTCACACGTCTGGAGGTTCTTCCTCCATATCATCCCATACAAACTATGAGCAGGTAAATATCGACTGTGAACACTGTGTGACTCAAAATATGTTCCGGTTTTCAAACAGTCAAATAAAAAAAGTCCTTAACGTAAAATCTGTGTTTTTTTGGGGGTCAGTGTAGATTTATTCTCTACGGATGTTTTAACGCGACGTTCGTCTCTGTATTCAAATCTCTTTAAATGTATCATTCAAATCCACGAGGCCGCACAACATCAACATCCACTCTGAGCGATGACGATGGAAATGTGGCAGTTAAAGAGAAAAGTAGAAGTAAAGTCTGATGTTCTATGTCATCGATCTTGTAGAAATTAAAGTGAGGGCAGGTATCATTTAACAAAACAATGTGCAACACATTTTTTATTAGATTAGCTCTCACCTTGTGTTGAGAGGCCTGATTTAGAAACCTAAATGGCACAAAAGGACTCAAATATCAACACTTATAAGGTCACCTGCAAATGTTTAAATAACAAGAATGAATTCATCTTTTTGGTCTGACTCTTTTGTAACTGATCATTTGGTTGTTTCCTTTAAGTATCATGTTTTATTTTAAGGGTTAAAGGTGCTCTGTCTCACCAAAACCCAGTCTAAGTATCCTCCGCATTGCCCCATACATCACGACTGCACTACTCCAATTGTTTCTGATTTGTATGATCGTTTCAGGTAAATTTATGTTAAACCCGATCACCAAAAAGACGTGTTGCAAACTTATTATTTGCATTCATTGTTTTTCCAGATGATTCATTCAAATCTAACTGACCACGTAATGTTGACATCCACTCAGGTCTCACGATGATGTAAATGTGGTAATAAAAGAGAAAAGGCACTCGTAAACAAGAATCTCCAGGTTTGTGTCATAAATGTAGCTGCAGCTTGTAGTTTGATATCTCGCGCTTCTTTCCGAGAAGATAAGAAGATTTATACCACATGTTAAATATTAAAGCTACAGGTGGCAGCAAGTTAGCTTAGCTTAGCATAAAGAATGTAAATACCTGTATTTATTCCAAACTAAGCTAACCGGCTGCTTGCTGTTGCGTATATTTAAGATAGACCTTCAAACATGAGTTTAAAAAAAATACACCTACCAGCACTATAGAGCTTACGAATCAACACATTATCGTATTCATTAAGCCAGGCTATCTGTGTCCTCCTGCTTACAGTCTTTGTGCTAAGCTAAGCTAGCTGGCTGTTGCATCATTTAAAACATACAGACATTTCCAAAGTACAAAAATACACCTACGAGCACCTAGAAAGCTTACTAATCAACACATTATCTTGTTTGTTTAGCCAGGCTAGCTGTCTCCTCCTGCTTACAGTCTTTATGCTAAGCTAAACATAGCCTACTGACCAGAGTGGTATCTATCGCCTCATCTTACGAAGCAAATAAGTATATTTCTCAAAAGTTATTGAAGCTTTCTTTTAAACACAAGGGGATAAATATACTTTAAAGTTCCTTCTGAGTCTCATAGGCTCTAAAAGTAATAATTATGTTGCATTTAACATATCATACCTAACATATCAAAGGCTGGTGGAAAAACATGTACCTTCTAGTAACTTATTAACTTATCTAGTAATTCAAATTAAAATCCATACTTTATAGTTTATAAGACTTTCAGGATATTTGAGATTTAATGTTCTTTTTTTTGGGTGTCAGATATTAAGGTTTGGATAATTTCATGTCATTCATATCATTTTAATAAAGATCAAACAAAGATAAATGATCTCTGCTGTTGTGATCTGAAAGTACTGACTTTTGGTCCGACCGTGACAGAGGAAAAGGTTGATTATTCTTTTTGTCAGTGAGGGCGTGTCACAGTTTTCTCCTCCAATCCGTGTCTTCAAAGTTAATTGTTCATCTGTAGATCAAACTGTGCTGATTTGCATTACCATAGAAAAGGAGCCTCAAACACGACAGTAGTGGTCAAACACTGAAGAAGACAGACAGACGCTCATGCGTGCTCAATCAGCTGAAGACATTTGAAGTTGGGTAAATATGTAGCTTCATCTATTGTTATTGTTTTTGAAACTATCTAACATTGTTTCGTGCAAATTGTTTAAAGGAGAAAATGTGTTTATGCAGCTTCTCATAAATTCATCACCACAGGATACAAAACTGACTAAAGAATTTCTTATTCTTTACTTCTGAAAAAAGACTTTAACAAATAATAATAGAAAAAATATAATAAGATTAAATAAATAAAGTAAATCATTGTCTACATAATTGTTTACAGTTACACAGGGTTCAACTTCACCATGTTTGGGTTACATTCTGGAAATGATTAGGAGGCCGATGCTTGCAACATTTTTACTTCAAAGTGACAAAAGACAAAATCAATGAAATCTCTAAGAGCCAAATGTGTATTCACCTGACAAAATGTCAGTTTAGGTCATTAGGTTCATTTGTTGGTAATATTAGTGTCAAACAGTGGCATTTACTCAAAAAAAAAAAAATTAAATAAATAAAAAGCAACATTTAAGTGATGAACACATTAATAGATCAATCATTTTAATTCACTGTTATCTTTATTCTGAAATAACATTTTGGTACTTTAAGTGTATTTTGATGTAAATACCTATATGTACTTTATGTTCGTTCATGTTCTTTCGTCTAGAGTTAATTACAGTCAGCATGGACGGGGCCGTGTTGGCGACACTCTTTCTCACAGGTGAGATGGCATTTATGTGATGATTGATGGATTAGAGCTTATTGGACCATCACATAGTCTACTTTTCCAATTGTGAGGTGTATCGCTGATAAAGAAATGTAATAATATTACAATTTTTACTTTTTTGGTAATTACAATTTGGTATACAAATCCACTTCCCTCCTCAGGTTTCTGCGCCCTCTCCTCTTCTTTTCCAAACGCCTACTACTTCATCGAAGAGGAGATGACTTGGTATGAAGCCCAAAAGTACTGCAACTCAGAGAACACTGCAATGGCCCAAATACAGAACGTGCAAGACGCCACCGTCATGAGCAACACTCCAACTGGGGGATACACAGACAAGGCCTGGATAGGACTGTTTGCGAATGACTCAGAATGGACCTGGGTTAACGAAGAACGACCCAGGATTTTATATGGGATAGATGATCAGCAACATACCGACAAGCTCTGCGCAGCCATAAACATTCCGATGAAAGCTTCATATTCAACTGGAAAAACAAACACAGATGGGATGTGGACAGCTGCCAACTGCTCCGATAAGAAACCATTTGTTTGTGATGATGGTTGGTACAGTCTTGACATTTTGGAATTTTAGATTAGAGTAGCACAAACTGGAAATACTCATGTACTTATTTGAGTATATGCATTTACTACTATATTATATGTATTATATGATATAACATGAATGAAAGTTTATCTAGGATAACGCATATTCGACAAAGCGATCCACTGATGATTTTACTCGAGAAGTACAGTGGTGTTATGGGATGTCTTCCCTCATTAATGATCTTCGACAACGGTGGCCTGTAATCAAGTGACTCATGTAATTAATGTTAATTAGCAACAGCACAACTGATACTTTACTTCGGATGCCCGCGTCCATCGTACTGTACTACGGCTAATACCTAATAGCTGTGATATGAATCCATTTGCTCATGGTGCCTTTTATAACCTTCGTTTAACAATTTCTTCTACTTCCTCATTGTCTTTATCTCAACAGGTGAGCGTTACCATCTTAATCAGAGTAGAAGTACTTGGAATGATGCCAGAATCAGCTGCAAAGTCAACAGAGACGTTCTGGTCATTATCAGAAATGCAGATGAAAACACTGAAGTCATGAGCTTATTAGGAAATGAAGCAGCGTGGATTGGCCTCTACAGACATAAACTCTGGTATTGGTCAGAATCCGGAGAAAACAACAAATTCATGAACTGGCAAACCGGACATCCTGACGACATGAACGGGTCAGACAACTGTACCGCCGTAGCGTTGACTGATGGAAGCTGGACTGACGAGCAATGTGACGCAAAATACCCTTTCTTCTGCAGTCGAGGTGTGAATCACGCAAACATTTCCCCTTTTAAAGCTTTCCGTTAGATGACAGATGAGACATTAGACACAGTATGGAAGACGCATTGATCTGATTGAATGTTGATTTCAGCCAAAGTAGAAACTGAAGCTGTAATTTTGTTGCTAGGTGGCTGTTGCTGTTGTTTCCTGTGCAGGGTTGCACAATTTTGGGAAAATTCAAAGTGGAAATTGTCCATGAGAATTAACAGGAATAAAATGGAAATATACAGTTTATTTCTTTAGACTGTACTGGCCATGTTGTACGCAGATAGAAACAAACATTGTATTATCTTAAGCAGACGTAATTATAAACCCCTCTAATAGAAATGAAAAAAAGCAACAATTTAGTTGAGTTGGACTTGACTTATTTAATAACGTATTGAACTTTTGTTCAATACGATACAATAAAAAAACATTCCCTCCAAAATGGTACTTCCCCCCCCAAAAATAATTAATTGATGTATATTTATTTATCTAAATTGTGGACATTCCCTTCCATAATGTATTGGATCCCTTTGCAACCCACCACAGAAACAGTCGAAAATAGTATATTGAATTGAAAAAAACTAAAGGCTCAAACACACGCAGATGAGCTAAGCAAGATCAATTTCACACGTTCTGGAGTGCGTCACAGGAAAAATCTTAATGCAGCACAAGCGCCAGCTGCAGTCTGAGTGTTGCAGCTAGAGGGCGCCATAGCATGAAACGACCTGGAGAAAGCTGACTCCTTCTGTCTGGGTTCACTTCTGCTCAAAACTACCACAGCTGAGCAGTTTGACGAAGTGCTAGCTGAAGATGCATCGGCATATGTGCCATGTTTGTTTACTACAGTGGTCATGGAAACATTGATCAATCATGATCAGCTCTGAATCGCCTCCTTGAGGACTGACATCGGTTAGCACCACTGGTGCAATCAAAAGTAGTCGCCAGTTTATCATCTTTGTTATAGAGCATCTGTGACCTGGCTGTCAGAAAACACAGATCTCTTGTGTGTGTGTGTGTGTGTGTGTGTGTGTGTGTGTGTGTGTGTGTGTGTGTGTGTGTGTGTGTTTTTAAACTTGCTCCTGTTGTTTGTGACCCTGTGCAGTTTACGAAGCACGGCGGAAAACAGTGGTGAGGATGAAGATCCATTCCAGCAAGAACATGGAAGATCCCGCCCACAGTGCCGTCCTGCTGCAGCAGGTATAGTGTGTGTGTGTGTGTGTGTGTGTGTGCACTTTTAAATATATATCTTTGTGAGGACCATGTGGAATTTTCAGTCCTACAGAGTGAGGGGAGATGTTTGCAAAGGCTCAGGGTAGAATTAGGTTTAGGTTAGCGACAATAGTTAGGCCGGTGTGTGTGTGTGTGTGTGTGTGTGTGTGTGTGTGTGTGTGTGTGTGTGTGCACGCATTAGTGTGTGAGCAAAAAAGAATGAAAACCAATACGAAACAAAATACTTAAAGTATCATCTCTGTTCTTATTTAGTTGAGTGCAGCACTTGCTCAGCAGGGTTTGACTGACTTCCAACTGACCTGGAAGAAAGTTCCAGAGAAGATACAAGTGTATGAAAGCAGTACAAGGTGCGCGCGCACACACACACACACACACACACACACACACACACACACACACACACACACACACACACAGAGACACACACACATTGAATCTTCTCCAAATGCTTTCTGTTTCTATCTTTCTGTTTAGATGCTTGATGACGCTGTGAGAACAACTCCCAGAGAGATGCACCACAGCATCGTTCATACAAAGAAGTTACTCTCCAGTTACTCAGCTTTTCTGATTTCACTTGTCATTGAATTTTCATTTGACGGCAGCGTGTTTCACACATCATGTGTAACTTACACTTAGTGTTGTGAGATATAGTGACCAATATATAAACTAATAACAATGATGTATTGTTTTCCACTTAATGTCTCTCATAATACTGAATGTTGTTGTCAATGATCTAGTTTTCATTATCTTGCATTGCTGTTCTTGTACATCCTCATGTTTTAGTTGTAGAGGGATTTATAAATAACTACAATCAATAAATAAATATATTAAAAATAGATTAATGAGAGGATAATTCTGGTATATTAACTTCATATTAAGTGTTGTCTGTGTGCTGACTGAAACTCCAAAATAAAAGTATTTAACAACCTCCTGCGCCACAATCTAATCCAATATTGATACTCGTTACCAGGAGATGTTGGAAGGATATAAACGTTTCTAAGAAGCTACGTTTCTACGTAAAGAAACCTGTGGAGCTAACATTAGCACACATTAACTATGTGCTATTCTACACTACTGAATGTAAGAGCATGCTTCTTCTGTCTCGATCTCCAGGTGAAGTGGTGGTTTACGTTTACACTGAGATCTGTCGGCTTTAGCTTCTATCTTTATCTTTTTTAACTTGTTTTAGCAGCTGAATCAGTTTGAACTCCTGGGATATACCCTTCAAACGTATATATTGTAGACCCTTCTGTATGCTTCTCTCTGAAATCTATTATGTGTTTCCAAAAATGAAATATTTCTTCATGGAGGGCAGTTAGTGACAGTGTGGGCTCCATTGTAACGTTGCTCTGACAGGAAAAGAAAAATGAAGGAAAAGAGCCAAAACTACGACCGTGCAGTTTACACACACACACACACACACACACACACACACACCTTCATTACGTGACCTTTGATATCACACAGCCTTAACTCAACAGGGAGCTTAAAAAAGGCAAATGCAGCAGCAGCAGAGACACTACAGAGCCATTTACATTTCCTGGTTTGAATAAGAAATCTCTTCCAACAATTTGTTTGCTCATCTCCTTTCTTTTGCTGTCTGTAATCCACCGCAAATAATGTTTTGACACACAAATTGATTCAATTCAAATCTCCTGACCTTGTGTAGTCTCGGGGTTAACCACAACAATCAGCATTGTGAGAAAAGCATGACTTTCCAAAAGTTAGTACACACCGTAAGGTTCATTTTCAGATGTGGAGGGAAGTCAGATTTGACCTCTGAGGACTGTGAGAAGTCAAATACAATATGGCCGCCAGTCCCCTTTGTCATTTCGAACTAAGTTGAGGATGCCCATCCGTTTGGGGATAATTTTGAGATTGCCAGAACCCAAGACATGTATTTAGGTCAAGGCCAAATTCTGTTAAAAACATTTTGGACATTATTTTGCTAACATTAGCTTGGACTCTAGATTCACGGACCTCGTGAATCTTCCATTTTGCCACATAAGGTATAATGATACTTTCTAGAAAAACTACAAAAATACGTCATCCCTGCAGCGTTGGATGCGGTCCGAATCATTTTGCGTCAATGCTTCAATTTAAAGAAATGTGTGGTGTTGAAACAAATTATTATTATTGTTATCGTGTTAACTTTGACAGCCTTAATATGAATGCATGTGCACATTGTTTGCACGTGTTGAATAATAAATATCACGAAGCACTGAAATTTCTGAGATCATTTTACACTTTACCCTTACGTAGGCTCAGTCATTGGTACTTGATCATTCATATCATTGCATAGAAATCTGATATATAGTTATAATCTGAGAGCAAATGATACAGTCTGGATTTCTATTCAAAGTTAAGTTAAACTAAAGAGAATTGGTTTCTCTGTCTGATTCTGAAGTTATTGCAAGTAAAATGAAGAATGAATCGGTTGGTACTTGTCACTGTGCTTATGTTTTTTCATATTTTTAATCCTTGATGTATGTTTTCTTGTGGTAATTGTTGTCGTCTGTAACTTTTCTCATGCTGCCAGGTCGCCCTGGTAAGAGAGATTGTTGATCTCAACGGGTCTTACCTTGTTAAATAGAATAAGAAAAGCTTCCAACACAGTGCTGCATTCATGTAGTGTATATAACATAAACATCATAAAGTATAGACATAGTCCATCATGTTTAACTTGACTTTCTTATTTCATTGTGTTTATTATATTAAGTAGTTATTTTAAATGTATTTATTTTATTCCCTACTCTTTAGGCAGTTTTTTGTCTTACAGATTCAAAAGTGAGGAAGACCGTGGTGAGGAGGAAGATGGAGGCCGATGCTGACATGACAGATCCAGCAACTAATGCCCGAATGCTCCAACAGGTAAATCTCTTTCTCTTTCTCCCGCTCTGTTTCTTTGAAAATTAGGGAAAATAAGGCTAAACTAAAATGGTAAAGAATATATTTATTGTATTCCTCTTCATCTGGGTACAACCCTAATGAGTCAGGGATGGACTGACTTTAAGATTGGGTATCTATCTATCTATCTATCTAGAAAACAGGAGAAAGAGAAACCCACAGAAGCTCACTGCAATTTAAAATTATAATATAATTTTCTATCTGCAGACCACAAAGTCATCCTTAATGTCCATCCTCGATGACTCATTTGAACAATAATACTGTATCTAAAATACATATTTTCTTATAAATGATGATATAAACACTTTATTGTTAATGAAGTTATTTGTGTGTTTGATTAAGCTCCAACTAATAAAAGAGTTAAATAACTAATAATTAGAGCTGCAACGACTGTAGAATAAATCACCAACCATTTTAATAAAATGTAAAAGGAAAAGTTTTAAGAAATATTTCATGTAAAAATTTCTGAAAATGCCATTTTCAGATTTTCTTGCATTTCTGTATATTATGTTATATTAAATTGAATATCTTTGGGTTTTGGACTGACAAAACAAAACATTTAAAGACCACCTTGGACATGTTTTCACTATTTTCTGACATATAGAACAAACATTGCATCCAGAAAATAAATGGCAGGTTACTCGTTAACAAAAGTAATTCTTAGTTGCAGCCCTATTAATGAAATTATAATGTGTGATAGACTTTGTGTTTTGTGCTGCACATTGACATGATGTGTTTATATAACATCACTGAGAGGTGTTAGGGCTGGGTGTTATGGCCAAATTTTATATCCTGATTTAAGTAATTTAATAGCTATGCATAATATAATATAATAATAATAATAATAATATAATATAATAGCTGGCAAATAGCTTTGGTTTGATTACATCAATGTTGAAGTTGAGATTTACAAGAAATATAACTGTGTAAAGGGAATACTGCTGTCAAAAAGCACCTTATTTGTTTGAAGTGTTAACCAAATGTTATTGCACTTTTGTTGATATAGCAGTACTTTTAAATTAAAAGTGCGCAATACACTACTTATTAATTCATTATTGAACTTTGCGCATGACAATGCGATTAAAAATTGTAATTGTTGCCCAGCACTAAAATATATACATAATTACATACATACATACATGCATAAATAAATAAATAAATACATATCAAGAGGCTCTGGAAATGTTCTTCGAGAAGCCCAGAAAGATACACCGCAGTGCCAAAAGCTGCACACTTTGTGGATAATTGTCATAAAGAGAAATGTTCCAATGTACAGTTCAAATAATTGTTGAGTTGTCACATTGACTGCTGTCATTAAAATAAACACATGAACACCATGATTCCTTTAAGTGTTCGTGTCCCCCCCCCCATCATGTTGTTTATTTGTACATTTAAATAAGATCATACCCAAATGCAGCACAGCACAGGATACTTCTCTGACAGGTGAGCAGACATTTGATGACAAATCGATTCGAAGTTTGGTTGATTTGCTGCCAAGAGTTAAAATACTGGATTTTGTGTATGTGAGTACCAATCTATTCATTCTTTTATAATTACTATGGTTATTATTAGTAGTAGTAGTAATTAGGCATTTTATCATCAGTATAGTACAGAATTTATACAATTCTCAAAACTATTACAAATATTTCACCAAATATCTTGTACATATGCATGTGTTAAGGTGGATATATGCTCTAATGGTAAATTATGTTTTTTGTGCTTTTCTAATTTTGTAATTTAATTATATGTATATAAATATATTTTTGTACTTTTCAGTGAAATCAGAAATGGATTGGACCGTGCTTTTGATTTCTGTCTTTTTTGGTAAGAGTGACAATATCTTTACATAATTACATGGTGATTGTTGTTGGTTCTCATTTGCGCCGCAAAACAGTTAATTATTTCCTTTTGAATCAGACAGCTGAGAAATGTCGGCCTGTAAAAACAAGTTAATGTACAGAAGGGCTTCTGAAATCGTATATGACCTTTGACCTGCTCAATTGAATCTATCTTCTTCATTTTCTGACACTAAAAATCAACCATCACACTCATAAAGATATGATTAG